GCAGCTATGATAGATAGTCTGGTGCAGTGTGAGGAGGACAGTTAAAAAGGAGCAAGTGGGTTAGCAGCTCTGAACCCCTTCTTCCTGTTGCTGCAGATAACAGTTTGTAACAGGGTGGTCCCCAGGAAAGGGGGAGGTTCCCTGCCCCACCCAAGGGAGGGTGGAGCTGAGCAGGAAGAGAAGAAGCTGCAAGAAGAGACTGAGGAAGGAAGGAAGCAGGATGGAGCCAGGAGACCTGGAAGAGGCGCATGGAGCCTAGAGACACGTGAAGAAACTGTGCTTGTCTTTTGGTCGTGGACTAGGTGACACAAATGTGGGTGAGACCTGTGGGGAGGTGACCATGGCAGCTTTTATCTTGATGTTGATTTTGCTCTTTTCCTTACGGGCTGGTCCGGTTGTTTGTGACCCTTTTTTGTGGGTCCCCACTGGAAGATGCTTTAGACTTGTGGCAGGCTTTGGGGCCTTGCTCTGCGCCATTCCCATATGGATGGACTTTTACCCACGAGGGGACGGATAACTTTGGGTGCTTCATTTAGAAACTAGACTCTTTGCCTTACCTGTATTGTTTTCTAGTTTTATTAAAGTTCCTTCCCATTAAAGTCTCCTATGTTTTGTGTTGATGCGGCGGATGGCAGAACCCATTTAGAATAGGCAGGTTTGCGGGGTTTGGGCTTCCCCTCTCCCTGTCCTATAACAAGTTCACCCCGTGTCTGAGGCCATGGCAGAGAGCTAAGAGACGATGTCAGCTGGTGACAGTGGAGATGGAGCAATGTGAAGAGATTTGTGATAAATGTTGGAGACTATCATTGGATCTGTGACGGATTGGATCTGTGTGTGTGTGTGTGTGTGTGTGTGTGTATTGTATTAGTTTTCTTTCGCTGTGTAGCAACATCACTACAAACTTAGTGAACTGAAACAGCAGTCAGCTGTTACCTGGCTGCTGTAGGGCAGGATTCTGGGTACAGCTTTGCTGTGTTTTTTTGTTTCAGGGTCTTTCACATGAAAGCAGAAATGAGGGTGTCAGCTGGGGTGCAGTCTTATCCCAAGGCTCAGCTGGGGAAGGACTCAATTCTAAGTTGACATAGGTGTTGGTGGATCTGACTCCTTGTAGCCTATTGGGCTAAGGGCTCCAGATTCTTTTGTGTGTTCCTGGCTGGATGTGACTGTTTCCTGCCAGTGGTCTCCGCAAGGTGGAACTTGATTTAGCAGACCCAGCATGGCCAGTGTCCTGAGTAAGACAGATGCTGCAGGCTTTGGAGTAGAGCCACAGAAGTGACATCCTGTCACTGCCACCAGAGTCTAGTCATGACGAGCAAGTCACACTCAGGAGAAGGAGCTCTCAAGGGTGTGATAACAAGAGGCAGGGGCAGTGGTTTGCCTGGGGTCTGTCCACCACAGAAATTGAAGTGCAGAAAAGGAGTCATTTTTTTTTCCTGAGCAATTAGTTACATTCAAGTCTATAATGAACCCAGGGCTCAAAGCTGCTTAATTTTAGGCTTGAGTCAACATTGGTAATATGAGATGGGCTAGTTCACTTCGTTACTGACGTCTCACTCATGAATAAAATGAAGAGAGAGTTGGATTAGTGTTTCCTCCGGCTCTACTATGCAGGATTGCTTAATGTGTGTGTACATCTATAATTAATATATACACGTATATGATATATATATGATGTAAGCAGGGAGAGGGAGAAAATTGTGAGGAAAGATAGCTCAAAGGCAGAAGGATCAAACAGTAGTTCCTGATCTGTGTCTCTATCCACTGTCGAGGTAGATCGAGGTGTAGATATAGTTAAAAATAGAGATCAGAAATATAGTTGGATAATTATCTGTAGAAGACTGTTATTTTTAGTTATTTTTAAAGATCAGTTTTGCAACTGTTAATCACTTACAGCATAGATTTTCCCCTTCCTTATACCGAGTTCTCCCCCTCAGACTCATCATTGTTTGCCAGATTCAGGGAGGCGTCTCGATCCTCATTTTTCTGGACTCTCTCACGACATCAAGTTCTGCTGGTGCTTCTGCTCTGGAACATGTCCACCTGCGTGATGACTGTTAATTTCACTGAACTCACTGCCTGCCACCCTCTGACCCGTGTTGAGTGCCAACGCTGACTTCTCTTGTTCTTCATTCTCCTTAAAGTGCGTGGACCCAACGTTCTGTTGTTAGTCTTTTATCTGGCGAATCTTATCCACCAACATTGTTTGATGTATTTATCTTAAGGCAAATGAAGCCCCAATTATTTACCTTTTCAAGTCAAAGCTGTTCTTTTTTATTTCCAAATGTTTACTTATAATCTCCTTGACAAAATTGACTTCTCAAATTAAAAATCCCTCTCCGGGTGTCCCTTTGTCTGTAAACAGAAGCACCTTTTCCCAGGGGTAAGTCCTTGGATTCCTTTTCTTTCCTCAATGACTGATGACTTCATGCATTGCTAAGTCCCGGTCATTTTCCCTCCATGATGTCACTCAAATATGTCGTTTTTTCCCCTATTTTTATTGCCACCAGCTTACCTCAGGTTCTTCTTTATTTTTTGAATTCACAATTCTAGTAGAATACTAATAGAGCCCCCTCCCTCCATACATCTCCCTTACAATCCATCATTCACAGTAAGTCCATTCTAGTCACATCATTTCCTTAATTAAATCCCTTCATAACTGCTCTTTATCTCTACGCTGCATGGAAAGCCATCCTTTCTGGAACTACAACATTCACTTACCAGGAAGTTCCCCTTTACTTCCCCACATATGGGCTGGGCCCAAATGGATCAGCTCACCAGTTCCCAGACACAGGTCTGCTACGTTTGCCCATGAATGTCCTTCTTCCTAATTACCTTTGCCTTTCTCTACCTGTTGAAATCATTGTCATCTTTGATGGTGCACCCCGACAATCATTCATTCGTTCATTCATTCACTGAAGAGATTGAGAAATATTTACTGAGTTCCCACTATGTAATAGTCAGGAACAAACAAGACGGATCAGGTGCCTATGCTGAGGGCATCTGATGAGGGAGACAGATATGGAAGAAGGAGACCACAGTGTCTGGATCAGAGGAGACGCTGAGCAGCATGAAGTGAGGAAGGGTACTTAGACAGGAACCAGACTATGTGAGGAATCTCAGGTATTTTTCCTAAACACTTAGCAATGAGAGAGAAACAGCTGAAGGCCATTTCATACAGCGAAGCAAAGACCAGTTCCTTGAAATCGTATGAAAGACTGGCCCGGAATTTATCTGGATGATGTAGTCATGAAAATTATCTGAGATACTCATTAAAAATAGGTTTCCAGAATTGCATGGCAGTAGTGAGAGAGTCGATTCCCGGAAATCTGAATTTCAAACACGTTTTTCAGTGGATTCTTCTGCCTGCTTACATAAGAGAACGGTCGGGCCACAATACCACTGCCACCCGGTGGCACTAAATTCAAATTGCAGGCTTGAAGGTCTACACAATCAGTAGCTAAATTTTTCACTTTATTCTTAGTCACCTTTGCCCTCTCTTAATCACATATTTTTGAATCTTCTGGATTCATTAACATGGATTTTATATAATTTGCACCCCTGAGGACACACCCACCTCATTTTAGTTCATTCCTTTTGTTACAAACATTCCTTTTGTTAAAATTGAATTTGGGGCTCTCTCTTTTGATTCTTTTCAACTATAAACTCTCACAAAATGTAATCAGTTTATTGAATCAGGGAAGCTTTATCCATTTATGTAGAATAATCTGTAGGAAGCTCTTCTGTCAGAGAGCCCGAGAGAGACAGAATCTTAATACAGAGATATCTAACTGGAATAATTAGTTCTGCCTGTTGGGCTCCATGATTGCTGATTAAGAGGAAAGAAAACATACAAAAGTGCTGGTATCAATGTCTTCTTTTTTTGCTTTCAGAGAATTCAGATTTTTTTAATTCACATCTAAAACAGATTATTTCCTAAACATTTGAATTGAAATAGACTGAGCTTGGCTGAGCTCAAATTCCTCTGGTTTACTCTCACAATAAAAAACAGCCCACAGGCACCAGCGGGAGCAGAAGTGAGGGCTATCCCCTTAAATGTAACCGGTGTTTCGTAATAGGTCGCAGCACCTGGGCTTGTTTTACTAGGAGTCAATAAGAACCAAGCATGGCAGAACATGACTTTGAAACCAGGCTTCATTCCACCTAGCTTCAGTATGGCAACTCCACAACAAGGTAACTTGGCAGTGTTCAAGATGGAAAAATAAGAATGGATTAACAAGGCAGATGCTCGTAAATGAAATACATGAGAATTATTACTGGGTTATCCACAGCCATCCTATTATTTGGTGTCCCTGCAGCCTTTGTAAAAAGACGTGTTTAGATGGATTTGTACAACAATGTTTTAAAAATTAAAGATAACATCTCCTTGAGGTGGAAATGCATATCCTAAAATGAACCTTTCGAAAGCAAACAATTTAGTGGTGGTTAATTCAGTCACAATGTTTTGCAGCCACCACCCTCAGTTCCAAATCATTCCTTTCATCCCAAGAGAAACCCTGTAGCCATTAAACAGTTGATAAACCAATGTTTTTGAAAGATGGATGGAATTTCAAGAAATTATAGGAGTGTTTACGTTGTTGCCAAAGCTTTTTAAGTGTGGCAAGGTCATTTAGGGCGAATTTATAATCAGAGGATTTAGAGACTCACATGATGCAATTAGAACAGAAGGTAAATGCTGGGACACTGTTGAAAAGGATTCAAATATGTGTCAAGGATGGGCAGGAGCTTTGAAGGCACTGAACATTCCTATGCAAACAGAAAGCCAACAAAAAACATGGGCAATGAGTCTGTGGGTTCCTTTGTGTACATTTTATTAGCTACTGATAGAATTATTTATGCAAATTATTGTGAGAATGTCTAGATCAGGGTGTCATGCCCACCTGCTGGAGGTATAAAAAGCCCTAGGCAGACAGAGACCTTCATTCACACTTGGGTACCTTGCTCTTCACCCTCTATCCACATCTTTCTCCACTCCTGCCACAATGACTCGCTTCTTTTGCTGTGGAAACTACTTCCCAGGCTATCCTTGCTATGGAACCAACTTCCATAGGACCTTCAGAGCCACCCCCCTGAACTGCGTGGTGCCCCTGGGCTCTCCCCTGAACTATGGCTGCGGCTGCAATGGCTACAACTCCCTGGGATACAGCTTTGGGGGCAGCAACTTCGGCAACCTGGGCTGTGGCTACGGCGGCAGCTTTTACAGGCCATGGGGCTCCGGCTCTGGCTTTGGCTACAGCACCTACTAATGGACCCCAAGCCCCAGGTTACTCCAGAACGCTCCCTCACTTCTCTGTGCGCAGAACAGCCTGAAGAGCATAGACTGTCTTTCTACTTCCAGATGTGCCCGGGAGATTCATCTTCCCTCTCTTGCTGACTGCCGGCTGAGAGCCTGGTCTGCACTGAACAATCACCCAGGCATCGAATGCTGAACTGAGACTCAGCCGCAGCCCGAGGCAGCAAGGTGGATTTCTCCAATGAACAATTGGAGCAGGGAGGCAAATATGCTTCCCTATAGTTGTTCTGCTCTTGTGGCGTGAAATTCTCCACCAACATCCACCTGTTCCAAGTTGGGTTGGGTAGTGAGAGGTTTCCCTGTCTCTTAATAAATCTGTTTCCTTCTGCACATTTTTTTGTTCTGATTCTTTATTTTACTGGGTTTTTCTGCTTTTGAACCCATCCGCCGGTTTCAACCTACAATGCCTGACTTCAGCCATGTTTCAGTCTGACTTGAGACTTTACACTAGGAGGGGAAGATGCCTCACCATTTTGTCCCTTTATGTCGAGATTTCAGTATTTATAAATTTCTGGAAAATGACCAAAATTCAATGCATGTATACCATAAACATGAGTGTTTCTCTATGCTAATTATAAACAGGAACACTTCTCAGCTGTTGCATGCTAAACATTTATTTCCTCCTTTCATTTGTGACATACTTCCATTTTGATTCATTTCCTTTTCCTCCTGAACTCAGCTCTAGAGATATTTGAACCTTACAGGCTGTTGGAAGAATTTCAACTAAAAGGACTTAGTTATGAACCTCTATATTTAGGAATTCCTAAGGTTTGTGTACATTAAGGCAAACTGACAGCTAAAATTAAGTAGTAGGGCCTCCCTGGTGGCGCAGGGGTTAAGACGCAACCTATGAAGAAATCCGCAGCCACTGCAGCACAAATTCGATTCCCGGCCGGCCAGGGAGAAACCCACATGGTGGGACAGATCTCTCCTGTCTCGCCCGCTGCTCCCCTCAGCAGTGTACTTCGGTCCGTCTGCCTGTTCTATTCCCCACTCTGTCTCTGGTGAATCCTCTCACCTCCCCCGTGCATCTCTGTCCTGTACCCCAATTCTTGTATAAAAATAAATAAATCTTTAAAAAAAATAAAATTAAATAGTATTTTCCCCCTTTTGGTAGATGGTTTTATTTTTCCTACCTTTTTGACCTCTGATTGTACATGTAACTATTAAAAATAAAACATTCCTGGAATGATGCTTGACATAAAAAATGATAAGTGGGCTGCACTTATAAAATGCTTCTTGTCTTGCTTACTGAGAAATGTTTGATCAAAGCAAAAATACTCTGTTTGAATTAAGGCTCTTTCGTTCACACATCAGTTATTTATTGCACCCCTGCCCATCTCTGAGAAGATGTCCAATAATTGTTCATTGACTTGACATGTCAAACCTCTGCTTTATGTGAAATGTGAGCAAAGCATTGTATAATCCAACGTAAAGTCCACTCCTGTAGGCATGAAGCATTGCTGGGCTCTGCTTACTGTGTCAAGGATTTGGGGGGAAATAAAGGCACCCAAGACTCTCAGGATTCTCGAGGATTTCAAGAAACAAGATTCTCACCTGAGAATCTGTTTTCAAGAGATATTTAACACTCACTAAATAGCTACAGCACCAAGCATTGTCCAAGGATTTGGGGACAGAGAGAAATAAAACACAATCCTTGCCCAGAAGAGTCAAACCTTCCATTTTATGCCAATTAGTGTGCCATAAATCATTATCTGAAGATAGATATTCTTTACTCGATTTCTTCCAAGGACTCAAAATAGCACACACACACACACACACATACACACACACATGTATCTGTCTACCCCCCCATCATTTACCTAAGAACAGAACAATGTAATTATTAAAATTAAGAAGTTAGACCTGCAGCAAGTGTGACTATCCTGCCAAGCAGAAGAGAAAGTTTAAATGGAGTGCCAAGGCTAAAAGACAAAATACCGCCAGGACTGGTCGAATGAGGCACCTAAAAATTGTATAACACAGATTCAGGCATGGATTCCGTGAAGGAACAACACCTAAACCCAAGAGGGCCGCTGTTGCAGCATCCGGTTCATCTTAAGGATTTCAGCAGTCATGCAGTAAATTTCTGTTTTTTTTTAAATAAGAAGTTAGACACTGATACAATACTATTATCTACAGTGCATCCTCAGGTTTTGTCAATTGTCCTAATAACATCACTTGTGGCTATTTCTTCCCCTTGTCCATATGTACATAGTATAAACAGTGTTGTAGATTTCATAGGGGGAAGCTGGGTACCTGCATAAGCATGTCTGTGAAAAGGGAATGCACTGCACAGCTCCAGCGCAAGGCCGACTGGCCTGTTTAAAGGGCGTTGCCAGGGCATCAGGCACAGAAGGGGTGATTTTGGATCTCTAACAGCTGTGAGAATCTAGATTCTGTTATCAGGGCTCACAGGTACTTTCTGTTCTAAAGCTATTTTTGATTTTTTTAAAAGATTTTATTTATTTATGCATACAAGAGCTGGGTTACAGGCCAGAGGTATTGGGGGGTGGGAGGATTCACCAGAGTCAGAGTGGGGAACAGAACAGGCAGATGGACTGAAATACACTGCTGAGGGGAGCAACGGGTGAGACAGGAGATGTCTGCCCCATGTGGGTATCTCCCTGGCTGGGTATCGAACTCGTGCTGCAGAGGCTGCGGATTGCGTCATACGTAGCATCTTAACCCCTTGCGCCACCAGGGAGGCCAACCTATTTTTGATTTTAACTAATTTTTAAATTTTGGCATAATTTCAAATTTATAGAAAAGTTTCCATAACAGTGCAAAGAAGTCTGGCATAACCAGATGAATGTTTACATTTTGTCTTATCTACTTTATCATTACATATAATATATATGTCTTACTATGTATGTGTATATAAATAAATAACACATAGTTTCAAATTCAATTCAGGATCAATTGCAGGTGTCATACCCACTTGTCCTAAGAGCAAGGAGGGTATAATTATGAAAATTAGGGAACTTAACACCAATCGGAAACTAGTATCTAATCTACACTGCATGCTCTCAATTATTCAATTTTTCTGATAATGTCCCTTGGAGTTGCTTTTCCCCCTGGCCATCACCCCAACCATTATCATGTGTATATCTTGTCTCCTTTAATCTGGACTAGCTCCTTAGCCTTTCTTTGTCTTTATTGACTATTTCCAATAAAGTCAATTTGAAGGATTTGGTCAATTATTTTGACCAAATTTGAAGGATGCAGGTCAATTATTTTAGAGACTGCTTTATGATTTGGGTTTTTCTGACTTTCTGTGTGATTTGCCTCCTAGCATGCATCTTGGGTTCAAAAGGCACGGAAGCAATGCTATGTTCTTCTCTGTGAATTTTATCTAGGGGCACATTCCGTTGACTTACGCATTTTGGTTGGTGTACACTTTACCATTTGATGAAAGTAGTGTCCTTTGAGTTTCTTCCCTGCAAAGTTGCTATTTTCCCTTTTGTAATTAACAACTAATTTCTGTGTTAATACTTTGACAGTGTAGACAAACTCTTCCTTACCACACTTTCACACACTCATTTTAGGATCTGTTCACGATTTTCTGACTTCAGAAATCCTTCTACATACATGACTTGGCAGTGGACTATAAAAAATAACCTTCCATTTACTTTTTGTTTGCTTATATATTTGTAATAATATTTATATCCACATGGGCTCATGGACTCTTTTTTTTTTCATTCAATATGTTGTAATCCTTTTATGTTATTATTCATTTTGCTGCTCATGTCCCAGTTAGCACATAGGCTCACTGTCTTGCTGGCTCTGATGTCCTTTAGAAATGGCCCCATTGTTAGTTGATCATTTCCTTACTTTTTGGCTCAACAAGGTATTTCAGGCTCATCTTGTCCTTTTCTACTCTTATCATGGGGTCAGCGACTTCTCCCGGGAACCCTAGATCCCTTATGGGAAGACTGGTATTTTGAAACTAAAGGATGGCTGAGCAGTGTGCTCACTGCTGGGCAACCATTGCTCTCTGTGTTCATGTCTATTCTATCATCTGCTGTCATGACCGTTGTTATGATTCAGATTTGATCTACTGAGAAGCTGTGCAGGGGCTCTGTTATGGGACTGGCTGAACACAGGCATAGTGTGTGTATCCTTTCAGATTAGTGTTTTGATATTCTTGGGCTAAATATCCTCAAGTGGGATTACTAGGTCATATGTTGTTCTATTAGATTTTTGAGTTATCTTCAGACTGTTTTCCATATAGTTCCAAAACTGTACCAGTTTACATTCCCACCCAAAGTGCATGAGGTTGGCATACACTCACACACCTCTACATCCTCACCAATACTTGTAGTTTCTTAGCCTGTAAATAATCACTATTCTAACTGGTCTGAGGTCCTCTGTTGATTTAATTTTCTTTTTCAATCAGGGTAGTGTTGATTTATAATTTTGATTATGTATTAGAGGCATCAGATCTCCCCCTTTAGGTTTTGTTACCATACTACACCCATCACCCAAATCCTCCACCCATGGTCCTCAACCATAGCCCACTGGACCCCCCTGGCCACTTTGTTCTTCCCTCTCCCTCTTTCCCTTCCCTTCCCTAGTAGCTTCAATTCTATAGTCAGATTTTTAGGGATTGTTATTGGTTTGATTTTAACTGGTCCTTGTTTTGTTTCTCTATGTTCCACATATAAGTGACACTATCTGATATTTGTCCTTATCCTTCTGACTTATTTCCCTTAGCATCACCCCTTCCAGTTCTATCCATGTTATCTCAAGTGGCAAGAGTTTGTCTTTTTAACAGTTGAGTAGTATTCCACTTTGAGCATATATACTACATGTTCCTGACCCAGATTTTAAAGTGTTGATGAAATAGTACTAACATTTTCAGCAAAAAGAAGGTTTTTTTAACTTTCTTTTCTAAAAGAAAGTTTTTTTAACTTTCTTTTTTTAAAAAAAAATAATTTTCTTAGAATTTTA